AGTCGCGCGCTCTTAGACGGGTTAGTCTCGGTCTCAACCACTCTTAGTCAGGATATTGTTCTGCCTGTGCCTTGAGGCCGTCAACTGAGTCAGGGACTGGGTCGGTGAGAGTCATTTGACAGGCGGAGATAAGCAGAATTCAACTCAAAAGTACATGTAGAATAATCACACATGTTTTGAAAAAGTCTTAGTATACATGGTACAAATGAAACGACTATTACAATTATTGTCAAGGGTAAGAGATTCAGTACCCGCAGCTATAACCAATTGCTGTGTAGTATTTTCAAACAAATGTAAGCAAAACAGTATGTACTTTGCAATATTGAACCATCCCATCCAGAGAACCAGAAAACACCATGGTATCTTTTAGTCGAGTCATTTCATTTATCATCACTTTCCCAGCGACTGCCACATTTGGGGGAGGTCATCACACCCCTCTGTGTCATTCCTGGTATGTCTGTACATACCACGTACCTCCTAGCACCCCTTGCATCTTACCCCTTAATAATTTCCCGTATATGCTGAATTTCCATAGCCGTAAGTCCCGGTCTGCCCCGCAGTTGCAGTACCGTTATTCACATTGCTTCTCCATGGCACATATCCACCACTGGTGGTGGTAGCGCCGACATTGGTACCATTCAAGCCACCTTCCTTCTCTGCTGCCGTTGTGCCGTTCGCACCAAGCTCCACATCCCTGGGCAATGGATGCGAAGGCAGCATATCATCGGCACTAGCAGTATCGGGGTTGTTCTTGTTTCTCCTCCAGAAGGCGAAGCCCCGGGTAGTGCCGGAGGTGTAGCCATTTGCGGGGGAGGGGCCAAAGCGCTTCTCGCGCTTGTGGTATCGAGCGTAGAGGACTTGAAGGAGGATTGAAATCAAGAAGAAGACGCTGCGCGCGATATCATTAGCATCACATCAGATTTTACATCGACTATCCCCTGACATTGGCCAAGAAAGAAGGGATCGGGTAGGTGGAGGAAGGAACTTACATCCCAATAATCGACACCGCAAAGGCAGCTTTCTCCAATTCGCAGGCATAGCCATAACTTGTCCCCGAAGGTGAGTCATCGCTGCTATTACCAGACCCAAGAGGGGTGGTCACGCGACCTGAGCAGCTTTGCGTGCCATGACGGGTCATGATAGCAATGGCGATCATGGCACCGATGAAGCAGACATCGAGGACAATGGCGAGGAAGGCGAAGAAGGCGACGCCGCCAAGGCAGCAAGTGAAAAGGATACCGAGGATGCCATAGAGGGTCGCAGCGCCGGATAGACCCTCGACGGCTTTCATCCAACGCGGGATATCCTGATCATGCCGAGAAAGGACGGCAAGGAAGTAGGAAAAGATGCCGAGGATGACAGCTGCGGCGAGGAACTGGAGAACACGGATGGAGAGGTTGGAAGCGCGCAAGAGAACGCCGCCGAAGCCCATATTGGAGCAATTTAATCCAATAGGCTTGGTATATAAAAGCGGATTAGTTCGTATCTTAGGAGTTGAAACCCAGGATGTATAGGGTTTGGTGTAGGCGGATTAGGCAGATGGATTCACTGGGGTTTTACACCAGAAGATTGGTGAGAAACCGTAAGGCTTAGGGCAGGGTCTCCCGTGATATAAAAGCGGAGGGAGACGAGACAGAGTTTGTTGGAGCGAAGGCAGCAAAATAGCCATGCAGGCGTCGCAGCCAGCCGATCAGTGGATAGGAACGGCCATTTCCTGGATGCCTTCCAGGGCTGTGGATGGCCGGTCCACGGATGACGACAACGGGATTGTCGGCCACCATTGGTTATAATTGGACAGTCCGGGCGGGGCAGCAGTGCAGCACCAGCCACACTAAAAGCCAGACCCTGACCTGCGTGATGTCAGTTTATTGGCGTGTGATTGGCGTAACCCACCTGTCTAAGCCCTGTTGGAAAACGTCCACGATTTAGCACCGCCATCATCCCTGTCCGGCTGCTCTGGGAAATCACATGTGCTGGTCCACCTGCTCGGCTTAATTTAGGCAACACGCCGGATTTGGCAGGTCCTTGTCGGATGATCCTAATCTCTTCCATGTCTGCTCAAACGGGTGTCCCCTGGCTGCCTCCAAGCATAAACATGGACCGAAGGGCAAAGAAAAGCATATGACATGATAGACATCGAACACGCAAGCATCTGCGCGGAGCGGAGATTGAGATAGTCCGGAATATAAAAAACCGAACACACCGCAAATGTGGGCTGGTAAAAAGCAAAAAGAGATGGTCCCAGAGGGGCTCGAACCCTCGACTTTGACGTTATTAGCGTCACGCTCTAACCAACTGAGCTATGGGACCAGTTGTTATATGTTGCAGAAATTTCTTGCTCTATGAGCCAGAGGTTAAAGCAACTTAAGGTCCGCAGTTGCTGGATATTTACGAGTGCAAGGACGGTAGTGATTTGCTTCGACAGGGCATGGAGTGTTGACTCCTCTTTGTGAACGATAATTCTGTAGGACATGCAACCTACGGAGAAGCTTAACGGCAATTTTGTCGGTCTAAACCTGCACATGCTGACGTCTATGGCCATTGGGTGGGGTAGATGACGATGATACTTTTGGGTGAGATGGGACACATACAAGGTCTATGTATGGGTGGTTCTCGGATTTTGTCCGAAAAGAACCATTATTCCATGGGTTGTCTAGCAGTTTCTAGCTCTGTTGTACGTAGCATTGTACTTCTCCGCCTCCCAAAATGAGTGCGGATATCCATAGCCTTGACCCGAAATAAAAGGTATGATGTCTATAGTATACCTCTACCACCGTACGTCTGTTTGATCATATGCTAGGTTATAGACACTATCCCAGGGCTGGCCGCCGCATAGTATCCGTCCCCTGTCCACCGTGACCGGAGACTAGCTAGCTGAGCATGAGATTTCCGACATGCCATCATATGTTCGGGATACCAAGACGACAACCTGAGTCACTACGTGCTGCTAGTTCACCTGGTCTCCTACTAGTCTTCGGGGTTAGCCCGGGAGTTTGTAGCTTCTTCCCTTGGTTAAGGTAGATCCACTAGTATGTGTACCCTTTTCAGTACGTTGTCAAATTTGCGTATCGCATGGTGCGGTCCGAACCACTGCTTATCGATCTCCTTGTCTGATCTCACCCTCTGGAATTGATCCATTCCTTTCTCATTCATCCTGCAGTGCCATAGAACGAAAAGTTTATGATTCCAATATCATCTTTCATTCGGTTGTACTGTTGGGGATCACATGGGTAGTGGGTTGACTGAGTGCATTGTTATACCATCCCGGCCATAGCAGAGTCGTTGTGCTCCATCCGTATATATTCCCACATGGAAACTGTCCACATTCGTGCTCTTTGTATGATATCTGAGGGCTTGAACTATCTTGAACATTGGCCATGGACTTCGATTCATAGTATCAACCGTCAGTGCCAAGCGTATACAGAATAAAATTAGATCGTGTTGAAACACACCATCCCTGTTAACAAGACCACGTATCCCGCTCCAAATCTATGCAACCATATAAAAAGAATTGCACTGCGACCAGTTACCCAAGCCAAGCTGCAGAGTGCATTGAATGATGCAAAAAGATGGTCCCAGAGGGGCTCGAACCCTCGACTTTGACGTTATTAGCGTCACGCTCTAACCAACTGAGCTATGGGACCCAGTTGATATCTACCCGTTTGGCTTTAGTAAACATAAACCAAATGTAGAGTTTGCGGCCTGTGCATAGGCTTTCTACTCAATCGGTTTTAGCGATATAGTTGAAATGGTCACTCTATAGCCGGTCCTTTCCATAGCAGTATAGGACATTCTGCATGTGCTGATGCTGTTTAGTACTTTACAGATAAAGCATTGTAGGGGGCATAGGAGCATGGATATTGATGGTGACATTAAAAGAAGTGTATCACGCCTTTCGTCGTGGAGTCTATATGCTTGGTGCCTTTCACCTGTTCATTGTGCGGGTTCATATGTGGGTGGCTACAGGCTCCGTAGAGAGATCGAAGTTGGCTATTACTATTTGACTTGTCCTGAGGCCTTAGAGCTCTTGATCTATCTGGGTTGATATACTAGGTACCCATCTTGATCAATTCTGCCCAGTCGGTCACTTGAACACGAACGACCGGATAATATTTCCGTCAGCGGAGACCGTTTAGCAGAAGACTAGCACCATCATCACACAGTCGAAGCTAACAATAGACCAACGAGCCTTAAGTGTAGCCATTGATCAATGTAACCCTCACATATTCATTCATTCAGGGGTATTCAGAACCAGAAAGTGGGTGAACAGCTCAGCAGCCCAACATGCCTCCTTTTTCATCCTACCCAGAACATACATTTGCTCCACTCTTTCATATGCAAAACTTTGAACGGCTCATGTAGTCGCACATCAGCCGACGACACAACAACCGGGTCCCATAGCTCAGTTGGTTAGAGCGTGACGCTAATAACGTCAAAGTCGAGGGTTCGAGCCCCTCTGGGACCATCTTTTTGCCCTTCTTCGGTTCTATCGCTAAGACGAGTAAGTAGATTGGGTGACCGAAGGGCCGATTGATTCATTTTTATATTTACTTGCGCTTGAATTGGTTGAACTTGAGCGACGGCATTCTGCGGCATCCATGGTGGGCTCTGGATCAATGCCTGGCATGTTTTCTGAATGAATGGCTAGTTAGTGTATTGCATGTGTAGCCACCGGAAACAAGTACACCCAAATGGTTGGAAAATATAATTAATTGCAGTCTTCGATCTATAACCTGATTCCGGTAGTAGGCCAGCGCGTCATGTTATGCCTCTCTAATCACAACAGTACAACCAATGGCACCGAGGCAGCTCTAAATGCAAACTCAAGATATTCTGTCCAGCAGATTGAATTTCTAACAACCTATGAATAGCGAAGAACGACTACCACCGGTCAAATCTTTGCCTACCTCATTCTAAAGACCATTTGCAGGGATTATAGAACCGGGTATATAAACCACCACTCCATACAGTCCTACCTACCACCTCACACTTATATCATCTCATTTCTTTCCATTACCAACCAACCGCCTCTCCTCCAACCACAACACAGGCCAGAACAGCACCACCCCAAACACACAAAATACCGTCGCCAGCAACTGCCAAATAGTGACCAGCAAGCCCCCTCCCCACGGCGCTACAAACTTGACAAACTCCGACGTCTGGTAAAAGTCCTCCTGCTGTTTGATGTAGTACCGTTTGCCGGACCCTGTCCGTGGCGTGCGGTTATCTTCGCTGTCCGTAGTGAGATCCAAGACCGTGGTTAGATGTACATGGGCGTGGTGGAAGGGAATGGCCCAAATGGAGAAAAGCTGGGACATTTGGAGGTAGAGCTTTTGGTTAGGTTTGTCGTATGCTATGTTGAGATCGAAGTTGTTAGCTACTCCTTAATAAGAGAGGTTACAGGATGAGAAAACATGAATACCCACCTACGGAATGCACCTCCAGCTCAATCCGCGGCGACATGATCTTGTACCATTGGTAGATCCTCTCAATGAACCAGCGACTCCCGGGATAGGGCCAGACGCGACAGAAGGGGTGGATGAAGGCTGCGCTGGGAGTGAAGTATTTCTGAATGGTTCGTTGTTGGTCATCTGGGGGAGCTTGCGTGAGGTGGTGGATTATAGGTGTGATTTCAGATGCTGTGACATTTATCTAGATTAGTTTCACGGGGTGATGGTGGAGGTGGTACAGGTACGGCGCCATGTGGATGGGAGATACGGACGCACCTGGGTCTTCCATTTTGTGACTGTTCTTGGCGGAGATGGTTCGGAGGAATGGGTTGACGGAATTGATAGAATTGATAGACAATTGTCATAAAATATTTACAGTAGATAAAGGCACATGAAGGGAATTGGAGGGGAAAGCTGGGAATAGTTATTTAGCTGAGTTGGGATGATGTCATGGATGCGGGCGTCGCAAAGGCCGGATGCGACGGGTTGATTTTCTGGTTTCAAGATCGGCCAACCAGCGAGATGTGCCTGGTGCCTGTTGGTAAGGTTCTGCTCCTACAACAGATAAATAATTGCATCACTGCGAAAAGATGTGATAGTGAAATTAACTTTTCTGGTATCGCAAATCACTCTGGCTATCAAAGCATCCAGTGCAGACGGGCTACTTTATGCTCAGCGATCAGCCCAGGTTGCTCATGTCCAAACAATCCAGTGTGTATAGAGCGCTTAGAAGAAAGGAATATAAATGATGCATCGTAAAAGTGAGGAAAGTATGTATACAAGTCGATCACCGCTTCCAGCTGTCCACCTTCTTGCGCCGCTTCTCGAAGATCTGGCCCACTCCCATCCCATCGTCGCGCTGTCCATCTTCATTCTTGCGCTTCCGACTCCGATCCAGCGCTGAGCCGCTTCCCTGGGCTCTCCGAGTGAGCTTCGTGATCCGGTCTGCTCCCTCAGTAAGACCACGCCATTCCTCCCCACCAAAGGTGCCCCGCGGGCCCTCGGCACGCAGACGTTTGGCCCGATCCTTCTTGCTCTCCTTCGCCAGACGCACGAAGTTGGTTTCTTCGTATCTCGTCCGCTCAGCCTCACGCTCGCGATCCTTCTTAGACTTCGTCTGTCGTCCACCGCGTACGATCGTACTTCCGATACTGGGCTCGGCCATAGGTGCGGATGACATCTCGGCGCTAACGAACTCATCGATGACATTAGACCGGCGTTGCGGGCGCTCCCTGCGCTCCCGGGTTTCGGTAGTCGGTAGGGCTGTGGGCATAATACGAGGTGGTCGGTAGATGCCGTCGCTTGTAGCTCTCGCGGCCGCCTTATCCTGCTTGGCCTCAGGCTCGACCTTCTTGGAGAAGGCAGAGACGTTAGGCCGGAATGCCATCTCATCTATATCCTCCTCCTCCTCATCCTCATCCTCCTCGTCCTCCTCACTGTCTCCCTCGCTGTCGCTGCTACCTTCGTCGGAGCCAGACTCCTCGTCGCGAGCGGACTTCTTAGCCTTCTTGCTCTTCTTCGGGGCTGTGGCTCCGCGCTCAGCCCGCTCCGCATCCTCAGCGGCCTTGATAACCTTGTCGACCTGGTATTTCAGCCGTCCTTCCAAAGGTCGGACACCGCGATCCAGATAGACACGTAGTTCAACGAGTTTCTTCACAATATCGTCCGGGAGCGAGTCGTTCTTTTCGGCGTCCTTGTCGGCTGATGACTTCAGACCCCTCAGCTGGAATATTACCAAGAATACGAGGTTCTGCATGTAGGAGAGGAGGAGATCGGACTTGGTGTCAAGTAGCGAGATGCCATCTTGCGGCGGTTCGATCGACACATCTGAGGGCGCATCCCGCTTGGTCTTTGGGAGCGATGATCCGGTGCTGTTGAGACACGTGGTGAGAGTCTCAAGCAGGGCTGAGATATTCTGCGAGCCAGAAGGCTCGGACTGGGATACGGCCGCCGCCATTGTGTGCTGTGCTGTCTCTGTCTGTCTGTTGAGTTGTCCGTCGCCGAGATTGAGAGGGAAATTTTTAGAGACCGCTTATCGGCACGTGTCGATAGGCATCGGCTTAGTCAGACATACGAAGTTCACGTGCGCCCAAGTGCGCGAGCTGGCCTCAATGCATCCGGGCAAGGCGTTCTTCTCTCAGCGAAGAGCCCGGTTTCGGTTCAATTCCTCGTTAAGAATTCCTGGTCTCCATCTCAAGTAGGTGGTTACTACCCGGACCACCCCCAACCCATGCGAGCTTGAAAATCGCTTGTGGCGTGGAAACTGTAGCCTGTATGTATGCCACTTGAAGCTTGGGTCCAGCCGAACCCCAGGGACATCCGCCAGCGACCGACAAGAACTAACTAATACCGCGCTGGAATAGAGATACCCACCATGTGGTTCAACAAACGATCTTCGTCCATCGCCGCCCTCCTCCTCACTGCCCCTTCATTGTCCGCCGCTTTCTATCTTCCCGGAGTTGCGCCTACATCCTACGATGAAGGTCAATCGGTACCACTCTATGTCAACCATCTTACGCCCGGCCTAGCGCAGCAGGATGAACAGCTCCATTCCGTCTTCTCCTATGACTACTACCACCCGGCCTTCCATTTCTGTGCTCCCCCAGAAGGTCCCAAGGATGTTCGAGAGTCGCTGGGAAGCATCCTGTTCGGAGACCGTATCCAGACGTCGCCGTTCGAGCTGCACATGGGCAAGAACGAGACCTGCAAGGCTGTCTGCGGCCCGGCCTCGTTTGATGCCCGCAGCGCCAAGTTCGTCAACCGCCGAATTCAACAAGGATACAACATCAACTGGCTGGTAGATGGGCTTCCTGGGGCGCAGATTAACATGGAGGCCGTGACGCAGACCAAGTTTTACAGCCCCGGGTTCGCTCTGGGATCGATCAACGACGAGGGACAGCCGGTCTTGAACAACCACTTCGAAATCCTCATCGAGTATCACCGTGTCGGCTATGGAAACCAGGACAAGTACCGTGTTGTTGGCGTGCTCGTGCAGCCGGAGTCCCGGCGCAACTCCATGGTCTCGGAGGATGGTACCGCCCAGTGCGATGGCGATGGTGTCGGCATCACCTTGAACGAGGAGGGCGAGACTGCGGTCACATGGACTTACAGTGTGTACTGGCGTGAGTCGCCCACCGCATGGGCCACTCGTTGGGACAAATACCTTCATGTCTACGACCCGAAGATTCATTGGTTCTCCTTGATCAACTCGGCTGTGTTCGTGGTCTTCCTGGTCGCGATGGTGAGCATGATCTTGGTTAGGGCTCTGAAGAAGGACATTGCCCGGTACAACCGTCTAGACATGATCAATCTAGACGACTTCGACAGCACGTCCGCGGCGGTGGAAGACGGTATCCAGGAGGATTCCGGATGGAAGTTGGTGCACGGAGACGTGTTCCGGTGCCCCAAGTCCCCGCTGCTTCTGAGTGTGCTTGTCGGTAACGGAGCTCAGCTTTTCATGATGACGGGCGTGACTGTTGGTAGGTACATCCTTTGCAAATCAGACAGTTCTTTTTGCTAATGGCTATAGTTTTCGCACTCTTTGGTCTGCTCTCACCCGCGAACCGTGGCTTCCTGGCCACTGCAATTCTTCTGATCTATACGCTTTTCGGCTTCATTGGCGGCTACGTATCGGCCCGAGTCTACAAATCGCTGGGCGGCGATGCCTGGAAACGCAACATTATCATGACCCCAGTGCTGGTTCCCGCGCTCATCTTTGGCATGTTCTTCCTTCTGAACCTGTTCGTTTGGGCCAAGGGATCGAGTGGTGCCGTGCCCTTTGGCACTATGCTTGCCCTGGTCCTGATCTGGTTCGTGATCAGCGTGCCGCTAAGTGTTGCGGGAAGCTGGCTGGGATTCAAGCAACGTGTAAGTCGCCTACTCCGCATCTCCACGACGGTTGCTAATTGCTTGTAGGCTATTGAAGGTCCCACCAAGACCAACCAGATCCCCCGCCAGGTCCCTCCGATGACGGGTACGCTGCGTACTGTTCCCTCTCTGCTGTTGACCGGTATCCTCCCCTTCGGAGCGATCTTTGTGGAGCTCTACTTTATTATGACCTCGCTGTGGACGAACAAGATCTACTACATGTTTGGCTTCCTGTTCCTCTGCTACGGGTTGATGGTTATCACATCTGCTGCCACGACCGTGCTTCTGGTGTACTTCTTGCTGTGCGCCGAAAATTACCGGTGGCACTGGCGGGCGTTTGCCGGCGCGGGAATGACCGGCGGGTACGTCTTCTTGAACGCAATTCTGTTCTGGATCACCCGGGTCAGCTTCGGTGGTTTCACCGGCGCGGTGTTGTATGTCGGCTACTCCGCTCTCCTCGGATTTATTGTCTTCATCTTGACTGGTAAGGACCCTTGCGAGCTTCCCGAAAGACTCACTCCACTGACCCTGTGACTAGGATCCATCGGATTTTTCGCCAGCTGGGCGTTCGTGCAGCGTATCTACGGCTCCATCAAAGTCGATTAAGCCGTTACAAAATTCTGACATGAGCGATCGCTCGTCGCGGCGCGGCCCGCCCCCGGAGTCGTAGAATTGCCGAAATCTCCTCCGGTGCAGTCGCAGGAGGGAAATCCGCACCGACTCAGCACGCGCGGTGACCGCAAGGACGCTTCACGCAACTGTGCTTTTTCGATATATACATCGTAAAATTCGCTTTGATGCGTTCTGGATGGTGCTGGGCTAGGATATCCCCTGTATAGCTGTGTTTGAAATTCGCATCTGTTGGTTTTGGTTCTTTGCTTCACTCGCGCTTGTAATGGTTATGATGTGTACATAGAGAAGTCGGAAAGACTGGACGCGGGTGTTCGGCAGGCGACGCCCGTTGGCAGGATTAGAAATGAGGGACGCGCACGATTGAATGTACGATACGGGCCGTGCATAGTACGGATGCAGAAATAAGATGTGAAAGTAGATCGGAGCAGATAGCCTCGACCGCTCTAGGCCGACGTAGAAGAAGGTAGAAGAAGCAGGGGGACGGGAAGGCGGAGGGGAACAATTGGTGGATGAGCGAGTAGGAGCCGTGGATCTCAAACCGCTTACGCTTCAAACCTCGTCACAAAGTGAAGCCGCCAAGCCGCCGTGTTCTGGACCCGCGGCTCTTCCAGCATCCCCGACTCTTTCTCCTGCCATCGCCACGAAGCCTTTCTTTCCTCTCCGTTTTCCGCTGTCTCAGCTTTTGATCTGCACTTTCTCCCTCTGACCTAGCATTCAACAATACCTACCTACTTTGTCAGCCGTGCTGGTTCAATCCGATCGACCGCCCTTTCTTCTGCCCCTCGGCCAAGCAGCGCACGCTCTTATCAATCCAACCCAAACTTTCCTCTACCCCGCGCCTTCCGAGAGACCCCGTTTCATCGCGTATTCTCACCGTGATACATCGATCCTAGCGAATTTTTTCCTCTTTACAAAGACATTCTACATTCGAGCCGAGCGCTTGGAGCGTGTGTGTGATCTGAAGATGGGCAAGTCGTAAGTGCTGCGCTTTTCCGATCGCTCCGCATGGGTCTGGCCAGGAACAACAAGGGAACCCCCTCGGGCAGGACAACGGACACCCATGGATGGTCGCACTCTAGCAACAATGACTGCGCTGCGGAGTAATACAGATCCTGATGGAAGTTGTCTGATGCTTGTCCATCTTTCCTCTCTGGCACCCTACTTTTATCCCCTTAGAATTACCCCTGCTACCCCGGACGTCGTGTGCCCCGCTTGTCCGCATCAAACTAATTTATTCACCGGTCTTTCAGACAGTCGAAGTTGTCCCCCTCCCAGCTGGAAGAACTTCAAAAGGCCACGCATTTCGACAAGAAGGAACTTCAACAATGGTATAAAGGTGTGTGACAGATATATCATGCGTTTGCGACCGGTTTCCTCCGGCGATATTTCCTTTCCTTGGTGTAGAAACAACCGCTGACGAATCGCTGCGGGGCAGGATTCTTGAAGGACTGTCCGTCGGGGACACTCACCAAGGAGGAATTCCAGAAAATATACCGGCAGTTTTTCCCTTTTGGCGACCCGTCGTCATTCGCAAATTATGTGTTTCGCGTGTTCGACTCGGATAACAGCGGCATGATCGATTTCAAAGAGTTTATCTGCGCCTTGTCGGTCACGTCGCGCGGCAAGATGGAGGACAAGCTGGACTGGGCCTTCCAATTGTATGACATCGATGGTGATGGTAAGATCACGTATGACGAAATGTTGGCGATCGTAGAGGCAATCTACAAGATGGTAAGTGCTGCGCGCCTAGTCGCCGTTCCATATTTTGGCCCCCACGCCGGCTGACCCCCCCTTCTTTCTCTGCACCATAGGTGGGCTCGATGGTCAAATTGCCCGAAGACGAGGACACACCGGAGAAACGGGTGCGCAAGATCTTCCGCATGATGGACAAGGATGAGAACGGCAGTCTCGACATGGAGGAGTTCAAGGAGGGCAGCAAGCGGGACGAGACCATTGTCAGCGCGCTGTCGTTGTACGATGGGCTGGTGTAGGGATAGAGTTCGGCCAACGACTACAACAACACTATCACTTGCTGCTGTCTAGTTGGGCGGGCCGGTCGCATTATGCCCATGGTTGCTTCTGCACTTCCTTGATACGTCTTGGATGGTGAAACTCTCCTCCTGGTGAATTGGCGCTAACTGTTGACATGCTTTATCTGTTTTCGCTTCCTTTTCATCCATATTTGTGACTTGGCTGCTGCTTGTTTTCTTTTTTTGTTGTTTGCTCATTCTTCAGGATTCCCATTACTGCTCGTATTGACTTGATAAATGCGCCCAAGCTTGGAATCCACCGCCACGCCTTGGCATTAACGAAATGCCGGTAGTTGGTCGGCTGCTTATGGCGGCATCCGGTTGATCGTCCGTCTACATTTCTACTTCTTGCTGGAGCCGGAACTATGGCCGTTAGTGACCACCCGGGTATGTACAGACGGGTAAGAGGGTGATCAATTCCCGGCCGATGAAAATAGTTATGAATGC